GGAATGTGGTCACCAAGTTTGGGATGAGTCATTACTTCCTGCATCTGTACAAGTCTACTTTTGTGTTTACCTCCATGATCACTCTCCTCATGTTTCATTTTTGTACTTACAATATCAACTTGGTTGTTCCTAACCACTAATTTACAGAACTAGTACTCCATCCACAGAAATTAGCATGTGAAGTTGAGTTTTCAATGGCTGCATATCTAATGCTCAAATACTATCTTTTATTCCATTTTCTAGCTACATGGTACAACTTGAGAGACAGCCAGTGTAACAAGGAGTTCAAAATATGGTTTTCTAGACCAGTTTCTTCAGTTCAGGTCCAGACCCACCATATTTATGTGATCTACCTCTAACATAGTCTTACCTCCAGAATTTGGGAAAGGAGTGACAGTACCTCAAGCATCTCAGTCTATCATAAGGTTTGGCTTCATAGAAAAAGGGCAACAGGTTTAAAGAGCTGAAGAGGAGGAGCTTACCATTTGTACAATTAACTAGCTATCACATTTTCCTAAAGCCTTCTATGTTGCTCCTAATTTTATAAATTATAGACAACAGGAATCTCTCATGGTTTTATGCAGAAGTTGAAAGATGTGTGTAGTGTTCGGTGATTTAACGACTGTACTCCTTCTTGTATAATGATCATTTTTATGTGATGTGCTCCTGAAACTTTGTGATACTGTCTAAATGGAAAAGTTTGATAGACTGATAATATAGAAAATTAATTTTAAAGCTATTTGATATTCACAATTACTTTTGCCAACCTATAAAGAATTAAATTATTTACATTTTTAATTAGAATTTTCTCATTCGATAGATTTTGCATTTCCCCTCTCATCTTTTCTGTGAACCCCCAAACTTTGTACCCATTAACTTCATGTTCTTTTGTTCTGCCTCCATTAACCACTTCTCTAGATCTCTCAAAACACAGAGACCATGGGGTCCTACCACTGTCCAAGAAACTATTTGAAATTGATATTTGCTGACAAAGAGGAAATCATTTTCTCTGCAATGGAGTGTAACTGAGTATATCCACCATGCACTATGGCAGTACCTTGTAACTAGCCCACAAAATGAACTTCATGTTTTTATTTTGTTTGGTTTGTTTTATTTATTTTATTTTGACCATTTGATTAATTTTGTTTTGTCATTTTTTTTCTCTTAAAAACTTTTAAGTTAAATCATTCATATTCCCTTCTTTTAGATTTTACTCCATATTTTGTGTCTAATGATCGTAGAGACTTAATGTGAACACTTGGTTTTCATTAAAAAAACTTCCAGCAATTGAATGAATAAATCTATTATAACTTCATATTAGTGACACACACAAAAAAAATCTTGTTCAGCACCTTCTCTTTTCCTGATCCTTCCATTCATTTATTGGCTGTAATAACACTTATAGAACATCCATGTCCACACATCATAGTTTTAAAATGTAGTCTTACCTTGGGATATTGCTAATTCAGGTATGAAATATGGATAATGATGAAGAAGTTTTATACATTGGATAACAGAAAAATACCTACAATTCTTTATTCCTTGCCTTAGACAATGAACCAAGATGTAATTGAGAAACTACTTTTTGAAAAGTCTGTTCCAAATTGGTATCCCAAAAAATAAAATGAAAACTCTAATTGAGAAGCTTTAAAGTAGATATAATTAAGTTTTCTAAGAATATCCATGCATTATAGAATCCTTCCTTTTAAAATGCTCAATTGTTTCACTACTTTTTATTTTTAAAACTATTTAAACTATGGTTACATTCAAGACCAATGATACCACCTGAATTAAAGTAGTTGCATGTGAGCACCATCATTTAAAGGGCACTATGTGATTGTACCTCTCAGCTGGCAGGATGACTGTTTGCAAGCGTTAACCAGATTCCAGACTGGAACAAATGTGGTGAAAATCAACAAGCACTCATCCCTGTGGAAACTGGCAAAGCAGCAGATGCTGCTGCTGGAAATAGCTGGGACTCCTGCATCTTTGGACAAAAAACATTTTGTGGAAAGCGAGAGAGAGAGAGAGAGAGAGAGAGAGAGAGAGAGAGAGAGAGAGAGAGAGAGAGAGAGAGAGATTTGTTTCATGCATTGACTCACAGATTAAAAGAGTATATGCTTTGTTTAATGTGTTTTATTCTAGAAGTGTTATAAATTTAGAATGGTAAATGCAATGCAGATAACCTCTTTGGCATTTACTATTGCCAATCGTTTTTAAACCCTAGATCAAGGTCATGTATTCAACCTAATTTGATGTTTACTGGAATAATAGGTCTGGGAGCTTTTGAGGTGAAAATTGCAAAGCTTAATATTATTACAAGTCCTTAATTAAACTGTCAGACAGTCACTAACTCAGTTACTATCCATTGTTTCTACTAGCAGAGAGAGGGCTTACAGAAGTCACAAACAGTGGGCTTAAAAATGCTTAAAAATGGTATAACCACATAACTTAGTGCAAGAGTTGCTGTGGAGATGAAGAAGACAGTGAACGTAAGGGGTCAAAAAGATCACCACAATGGTGACTATTTTTATTAAGATGCCCACAACAAAAGATAGATAATCAAGCAATCAAAAATGATATTCTACAATAGTCATATGTTTCAGTGTTTATTCTGACAGTTGGAAATAATTGCACAAAGCTCATAGCTGCAATTACTTTGAGACTTCTTAATGAATAATGGTGTATACAGAAATCTTAGGGCAAACCTACAAGGATGCAACAGTTTCAGAACAATTGCAACCTGAGTATGTGCCTTGATATAACATTGTACTGAACCATGATTGTGGTAAAAATGGAGTAAGGAAGTTGATTTGTCTTAAATTAAAATAAGGTTATAGGGGAACTATTAAACAGTTAACTATAAAATACATAAATGATAGTTTTGTTTCATTTACTCATACAGAAAGATTTTGTAATTCCATCCAAAGTGGCTTCACTTGAGGAGACAAAGAGCATGGTAATATTATTTACTGTGTAATATAGTATATAGAATATTTATTTCTTCTGGGTTGTTTATCTTCAAATAACAAATAAAAGTAAATGACTATAACAGTAGAGTTCTTTTTTTTATTTAAAAATATTTAGTGGTGGATTATAATTATGTTTAGAATATAAAATTTTCTGTTAATGTGTTAAAATTCAGAAGTAACTTTTTAAAGTTTAATTTAAACTAAATTTAATTACCATCACATATGACTATATAGGGGAATGTTCCTGGCATAGCATTTATTATAAATAGTGATTTTGTGACTGTCAGGCATGTATAATTCATTTCAGTGTTACAGTGATGATTGAGTTAGAGAAGGAAAGAGTGGGAGAGAGGAAGGGATGGGGAGAAAAAGAGAGAGAATGAAAGAGAGAGAGAGCATGAGAGGAAAGATAGTAAAATTATGCTGACATTTTTCTCTGCACCTCATTAAATTGGTTTCACTGTAAGTTCAAAAAATGTTTAATACCTCTGAGCCCTGGGTTACCTATCCTTCTAATTGACAGAACCCATCTCCTTAACAGGACTGTACAGAGGATAATAATAAGATCCATATCATGTAACATAGTGCCTACCATGACATGGATATTTATTTTCTGTATTACAAAGTTTTAATTCCTTATAAAAGGCTGCATGTAATGATGACTGTGAAGTACCTTATAATATATAACTGATAATACTCATTTTTGTAAGTTTTTGGAGGGAATCAATGGAAGATTTATCTTTTCTTCAATGTGGCTTTTCCAATGACAGTTTTTCATCCTAATTCTCTGAGAGTATTTTGTATGATTGTTTTTCAGGTAGCTGAAGAAGATAATATCCCTTCATTCATTCTCTGCTGTGTTTTAAAACAATAGAAATTACCTGAAAGGAAGATGGTCATTGTTCATTAGAAATCACTTAGTTCTTAAGGGAGAATCATTAGTTCTATGACTCTAAATTTTAATAGCCAGTTGGAGAAGTTTGGTAATGAAAGTACAAGGAATCAAATATTTTACTTCTCACAGAAAATCATAGTGTGATTTGTATAAAGCTGAGATATGATGTAGTATTTTAAGTTTTTGCTTCATTTTCAAAAGGTGGATATTCAGATGTTGATTGATTAGATATTTTAATGTAAATAAATTATATTGAAGATAAGAAAATTGTTATGTCACAGTACCATAAGATACATTATACTTAAACAATGTATTAAACAATGTAATATAAAAGTAGTACAATTTTACATCTGATATCCAGCATGACTTCCAGAATTTTGTAGAATTTAAATAAGTTGATACATTATAATAACCAGAGTAGCTATTTTACCATAAAAATGTTTACAAAAGATTATCCTTATATTATAGATCTAAAAAGGTAGAATCACTACAATAACTTGCTGTTATCCATCATAGAAATTTCAGGTTTTCTTAATTTAACAAGTACTTTGGGGAGAGATCTTTGGGGTTCCTGTCTCCACCTTGCTTGTTGTCACTAACTGAAGAGTAAAAAACAAAAATTAACTTACTTACTAAGAGTCAAGTACATGTAAAAACTGCATGATTTCTTATGTTTATATTTTGACTTTTATTTATTTCTCACAGCATGAAATTAGTGGTGTGTCCATATTTTACATTACAGGAAATGATTTTGAGTTTCTAACTTTTATACCTTTAAACTGTGGTACAGGTTGCATCAAAAGCCAGATATATTTGACATATTACATTGCTTCTTAAATGATGAACATAAGAACATGATCATATCATTTCCCATTCAAGATCCTCCAAAAGATAGGTGTTCTAAAGTTATTCTATGGATATTTGAGACTGAATGATGTGAATCAGAGCATTTCCAGGACCTTATGTGTTTCTGTGGGACAAAAGCTTATGAAGTACAGCTTTAACAAAGAGTAAAACTTCTAAATTCTTATACTTTGTGTTTTACTTATATGAATCTGTGAGGGAATGGATTCATGTTTTTTCTTCTGCTTCTCCTTTGCATAATTAATCAAAGTATTTCTTTGTTCTTGCAGGGATGACTTGTCAAGCTCGGACATCATACACTGAGGATGAAGTTCTTTGGGGTCATCGTTTTTTTCCTGTAATTTCTTTAGAAGAAGGTTTCTTTAAAGTTGATTACTCCCAGTTCCATGCAACATTTGAAGTCCCCACCCCTCCGTACAGTGTTAAAGAGCAGGAAGAAATGCTTCTTATGTCCTCGCCTTTAATAGCACCAGCCATAACCAACAGCAAAGAAAGACATAATTCAGTGGAGTGCTTAGATGGACTAGATGACATTAGCACAAAACTTCCATCAAAGCTGCAGAAAATTACTGGGAGAGAAGACTTTCCCAAAAAACTCCTGAGGATGAGTTCTACAACTTCAGAAAAAGCCTATAGTTTGGGTGATTTGCCCATGAAACTTCAACGAATAAGTTCAGTTCCTGGCAACTCTGAGGAAAAACTGGTCTCTAAAACCACCAAGATGTTATCTGACCCCATGAGCCAGTCTGTGGCAGATTTGCCACCAAAGCTTCAAAAAATGGCTGGAGGACCTGCCAGGATGGAAGGGAATCTTCCAGCCAAACTAAGAAAAATGAACTCTGACCGCTTCACATAGCAAACATCTCTTTAGGCATTATTTAATGTTTTGATTTAGTATTAGTCCAAGATTTGGCTTACAAGATAATCCTCCCTAGGAAAATTGAGAGGTCTATCCAGTCCAGAAAGTACATTTGAGAACTCTTCATCCCAGTGTTGTTACATTGCAGATCATGAGTTATGAAGGGAGGCCATCATAAGAAAGTTATTAGTGGGCATGTATTATCACATCAAGCATGCAATAATGTGCAAATTTTGCATTTAGTTTTATGGCATGATTTATATATGGCATATTTATATTGAATATTATGGAAAAAAGATATATAAATATATATTTGAAGTGGAGATATTCTCCCCATAATTTCTAATATATGTTTAAGCCAAACATCAGTGGATAGCTTTCAGGGCACTAAAATTACATATATATACATACACACAATTGAACACACACATGCACATACACACATACATAACATACCCATATAAACATATATATCTAATAAAAATTGTGATGTTTTGTTCAAATTTGTATTTCTTGTGCATGTTTACTTTATTAGACTAGGAAGGCTGCTGGCATTGATTATGAAAACCAAATATTTTAGCCTTAAATTATTTGTTATTTAAAAATCTGATTTAATGTTTTCTGCTGTTAAGGTCATGGAATCTTTCAACTGTACTTTATCAAGAAAGATTTTTCAGAAGTCTGTGGTATTCATGGTACCGCAGAGACATCCTTATTATGTATTTAATTTGTACATTTTAGGGTGTGCCAGTAACTGGTACACAACATTGAACTTTTCTTCTGATTTTTAGAAGTCACTAGAACTGTTGTTGGGTAAATAAAAGTCTATTAATTCATCAATTAGTCTTTTCCTAGACTATATCTTTAAGTTGGATTTGTACACAGTCTAATAAAAATATGAGCTCTGAACAAATGCTGAATCATTGCAATAGTCAGTAGCAAGGTTATATTTGAATATTTGAGTTTGTGTGAAATTTACAGGGTAATGATCCCTGTTTCAAAAAGAGTTGATTGAAAATATTTTCTTCTTTTTCTCAAACTTTTATCATCCATTAAAAAAAAACAAAACAAAAACAAAAACCTGATAGATCTTTCAAGATATGACAGCACAATGAAGCAGATGAAATATTCATGCTTAAATGTGTATGTCTAACAGAGAACTTTTATGGTGTTCTCTTGTCTTTGGCAATTGTTGTGAGAGGATCAACTTTTCCCTTATCTGGGGACTATAGTCCCAGGCATGTCAGTCATAATTTAGCACAGATCTGAGAGAAATTAAAATCAAATGAATTGAGAATGTTTGTATACTCAGGATATTTTGGTTTTGTATTGATGTTGAAGAATTTTTTTATTGATGCCTTGGATCCCTGGCTTCCCAAAATTTAATAAATAAGCTTAGTACTCCTGTTTTTCAATCCTCCAATATCTGCCTGGAATCAAACTTGATCAGTAGTATACTTTTAACACAGGGTATAGGGTGAAAGGAGGTTTTTGTTTTGTTTGGTTTTGTTTTGAATATGCAGAAGTACTTCTTGGCATAATAACATTATATAATTTTGGGGGGTGTTTCTTTGGGATTTGCATTCCAGACTGACCCAGAAGTAACTCACTTCTCATTAATCTATAAGTCACCAAAGGATGGTCTGAGCACACAGCATCACAGCATTCCTTTCTGTTTAGTGATCCTGCGATGATTTTATTAAAGCCAAATTATTACATCAACAGTGTATCATCCACTATATCTTCTGGCTACCTCTGTATCAACCAAATTCCGTAGGTGCAAACATATACCAGGGAATGAATACTGGAAAAATGGTCAATCCTAGCATTCATCCACTGTGAATAGAGAAGTTGCCCTACCCCTTGATCACTAAATGCTCTTATTTGCCAGATGAAGGTGACAAAATATTAGCAGAAAGTGAAGGGGACCAGCGGGTATGTATTTAGCAGTGGAGGAAGCTGCATAGATCATTTAGTCCAACACCTTAAAACTATACAGAGCCATAATATTCTTTGGAGAGTCATTTTAATTTGTTTTTGGTTTTATGAAGAAGAACCAAAAACAAACTCTCTGGATTTATTCATTTAACAAAAAATTGTTGCATGCCTTCTTTGTCTTAGGCATTGTATTTTTTTCTGTTGTTTTTGTTTGTTTGTTTGTTTGCTTGTTTATTTCCTGGGGATTTAGATATGTACAGTGTATTAGAAGGACAGTGTGGAGGAACAGTTGAAAAAGAGAGAGATTACCCATTAGTCAACATTTCAAATAAGAGAATGAAAATAGGGTAGAAACAGAAATGGCTGTGAGTTGATGAGTACACAAAAGGTGACATTCGGGGGTTGGTTAACACTAGGATTGGGATCTGAATGACAAAAAGAGCCAGTGTGGCCATAATAAATTAATTCAAGAGAATAGTACACGTTTACCTTTTCCGCATAAGTGTGGGAACAGTATGATTTCTGCATGTATTTGCAGTTTAATCTCAATTTCTAGGTTGATTATAAGTTTCAGGATGCCCAGGAAAATTGCAGTTTATACTTGTTGTACTCGTGTAATTACTAGTACCCCTCTCTTTGATTCCTAATATGTCCTGGTTTGGATGATATATGGTAAAGTTTTATTGATGCTCACAAAATTATTGACTCTAATATATTTGGAAAAAAATAAAGAATTGCTTTACTTCTCCTTTTCTTGATTTTCTTTTCTTTCACAACTATTTTGGGGAAACTCATTCTAATATCACCTCTTTTTGCCTGAAGAAATTCTTAGAAAAGAAGTTGGATCTGCACATGACATGACTCTTAAGTTCAATGTGTTGGCATAACATATAAAATGAACCTATTTCCATTTAAAGAAGTTGCAATACCTAATATCAACAGAACTAAAAGATAATTTATGTCAGTATGCTTTTCAGATTACTACCTTAGTGATTATTGTGAAAGGAACATCTTACCAAATAATTGGACACCAATGTGTTTCTAGCATTTTATATCATATCTCCTGTTATAGTAAAAGATCTCATTCTATTTATCAAAATGTTAACAAAACATAACTATTTTGATAATGCTCATCTTTAGTTCAAGAATTTACCCATTGAAGCAATATAAATATACTGTGTAACATATGTAAAATGAGCTGGAGGGTATTTTACCTTCAATTATGTTTAAATCTTAGATATCTTAAAACCATTTATATAACTTTGCATTTTATCAAATGAGTTCTATTCCCCCAGTACTGAAAAGCCCTTTTGTCTGGAGGGGAAAGGTTTATCTAATGCATGATTTTTTTTCTGAAAGTATAATTACAGCACAGCTGACTTATATCATTTGCATCAAACCATTTCTAGTATTTCTAACTATGAAGAAAGTTCAGTTTGACTTCATAGTATATCTGTATGTTATATTTTACTATTTATGCCTAAATTCTTTTTGCATATTAAATTAGTATGAAACTTATATGTTCTAACATCCAATCTGTAAGCATTTCCATGCACAGGGTTATTTGTGTTACAAACATATAAACTTTTGTATTTAGTACAGAGTTTAATTGAAAAATACAATAAATCTTTGCAGTACTGTTGAGCTTAATTTGCAGAACATCACCATCATTTCTTCACTTTCCTACTGTCAGTGAATTTTATACCTTCATATAGCTTATGACTCATATTTTAAAAGACAGTGATTTGAGTCACTACAAGAGCACGCTTATAACTCTTGCTATAACTCTTGCAAAAGCTTATTCATTGATGAGTTGTTTCAACAACCTGAAGCCTCCACTTACTAATATTGATATCTCAAGACCAGATACGTTGGAGGAATCTTCAAGAACAGTTTGGTTTTTTTTTTTTTTTTTTTGGTGGTAAGCAAAGCAGGAAAAGTACAGTACAGTTTTATTCAAATAAATAATATTTTAATACATGTTTGTCTGAAAATGTTTCCTAGATATAAATGTATCACCAGGCTAGTGCTATATAGTTCCTTTGATAGTACTGTTTCTTACTCCAAGGATCATTACAAAATTAATTTTAATATAAAATAAAATTAAAAATCAAATAACAGGGCAAGAGAGATTTCTCAGTAGTCAGGAGAGTTTACTGGCCATACAGAAGACCTAATATTGGTTTCTAGCACCATATCAGGGTCTTGCAACTGCCTATAATATAAATACCAGGAGGTCTTTACCACTTTTGTTGTTGCTGCTGCTGCTGCTGTTTGTTGACACCATGATCAAGGAAACTAAAGTAAAAGTAAAGTATTTTCTTTGTTCTTATGGTTTCAGAGGGTTAGTCTCTATGATGGCATAACACAGGCCCTTTGACAGGAACACTTGAGAGCTTACATCTTGATCTGCAAGTAGGTGGGGGTGGGTGGGGGAAGACTGGGAATGTTGTTATGATTCTTTTGAAACCCTTGAGCTCAACCTCCAGTGACACACCTCTTGGAAGAAAGCCACACCTCACAACCCTTACTAAATAGTCTCACCTTCTGGAGATCAAATATTCACACAAATTTTCTTATGGGAGCTATTCTTATTCAAAATACTACATTCCACTCCCAGTTCCCATAGCATAATGCAAAATGCATGTTTTCCAACATCAAAGATTCCCTGTAGCCCTTTAAACTCTCAACAAAGATTAAAACTATGAAGTTCAAAGTCTAAACTATCTTCTGAGACTCAAAGAAATCTCAGTTTTAACACCCTGTAAAATCAAAACTCAAATTACTAAATTCCAGTGCAAAATAACACAGAATATAGCATTCCAAAAAGAAGGGATGGGCACATAATACAAAAACTCTAGAGCTAAGGAAGATCCAAACAAACAGGACAAAACCCAAATCCTATAGTTCCAGGTCTGATGTGAAAGTGCTTTGATGGCCTGTGTTTTTATGTTTTCTGCCTACAACATTCTTCTCTTTCTGTGGATGGTTCCACTTCTTGTATTTAGCTCTCCTCAGCAGTTGTTCATGACTTTAACATCCCTAGCATTGTTCACTGCTTCAGGTAGTGTCCTCATAGGGTCTCTATTATAGCCTCCCCTGACACATATCTGGTCTCAGTGTGTATCTCCATCAACACAGAGGAAGATTTCAGAAATCCTCTTTTTTTTTAATGGACTTTTATGACTAAAACCATAGCCACATGGGTGGAACTTTCAAGTTTCCCTATCAACTTGAGGTGAACTCTGGCAACCTTGAATGGCATTTATATCAGTTTGATTTGTTGTTACTTTTCAGGAACAAGTAATTTCTCAGGCCTTTCCTTTTTACTTAGAAGACTAACTGGGTGGGTGTTTCCCTGAGAGCACTACCCCCTTTATTCTGTTGAATATCAGAATTTACTTCAGTCATTTCATATTAACACAACCCTTGACTCCAATATTAAATTTCCTGGTGATTTTTCTTTCCTCAAACTGTACATATATTTTTTTCTGTTCTATATGCTTTTTTTCCTTATAGACATGTCTAAAATGATTACTAAAAACCACATACAAGAATCTACATTAGCCTGTCTTGTAATCTCTTTTACCATACATATTAGTTCCTCACTTTTCAATTTAGCCACAGGTAGATTATTAGGACACTTGCAAAGCCAGCCGTATTCTTTGCCAGAGCAATACAAGAAAGACTCTAGTCTATTTGCTAATATTGTTTCCCTCTGAAACTCTTTGAGTGGAGCCTCCATCATCCACACTGCTTTCCACCCCATTATCATCCAAACTCCTACAAGGATAGCTCATTGAACCCTGCTTACAGTACTCAACTGCTTTTCTAGTACCAAGTTCCAAAATCTTCCACACTCCTCCAACAAGCTGCATGGTCACAACTGCCATAGGAAGACATAACTTTGCAGTACCAACTTCTGTTTTCTATTGCTGTTACAAGAAACTGTGACCAAAACAACACATAAAAGGACACATTTGAGTTGGGTTTGTGGTTTCAAATAATTAGAGTCCATGAATGTGAAA